AAACAGCCCAATGAACATCACCGTAGAGGAGCCAATCAGCTAGATGTTGCTGGGGCCACTGTGAGCCAATCATCAGCCGGCAACTGGAAGTTTGCTGGCAGCTGGATCATCAGCCGGCAGCTGGAAGTTTGCTGGCAGCTAGAAGTTTGCTGGGGCCCCTTTGGCTGTGGCTCTCAACAGAAAGCTGCTGTTACCTGGGCTAGTTCTTTGCTATGGCAGCCATAGGGAACTATTGTGCTGTATTTTGTTCACCATCCTTTGAGGATCTTCAGTTTGTCATACTTACAATGCTGCCATATAGCTTCCCGTAAAATGCAAGTACTTTTCAGTAGATTGGTTCCCTGTATAACCTCTGTCCTTTCTGCTTTTTTGTCTTTGTACACGGTTAGTTACCTGATGAATCTGTATACATTAGGAGTTACCTAGGTGTTGTAGTAATTGTGCTTAAACGATCATATATCTTTTAAAGAGATTAAGAAGACGAAAAGTGCTGGGTGCGGTGGCACATATTTGTGATCTCAGTGGCTGGGGAGGCTGAGGCAGGAGGATTGCAAGTTCAAAGCCAGCTGTAGCAACTAAGTGAGGTCCTGACCAACATAGTGAGACCTGGTTTAAAAATAAAAAAATACAAACGGCTGGGGATGTGGCTCAGTGGTTAAGCACCTGGGTTCAATCCCTGGTACCAAAAAAAGAAATAAAAAATGAAGAAGAAAATTTATCTATAATCCATCTGTTGTGTGCAGTGTTTCCCATTTCTTTGATCCTTATCCTCCTCTGTTTGTCTTCGTCAGTTCTTGGGGCAATCTGTTGCAGCTGCGGAACTTCTTTGGTATCTTGCAGTATGGGCCTACTAGCGGTGAATCGTCTTAGTTGTGTTTATCTGAAAATGTCTTTAATTTACATGGTCTTTAGGATAGTTCCTCTGGTGTGGGATTGTGTCTTTTCTGTCAACTCTGTGAAGATGTCTTTCCATGATGAGAGTTGGCATTCCTCACATGTGGCTGTCTCAGGCATGGTGGCTGTCCTTTCTTTGGCTGCTTTCATGCTCCTCTCTTTTCTTGGGATCTCATCAGTTCCACTGTTATGTTCCCAGGTAGTTTCTGTCCTGATGAAGGGAGGTTGAGTGTATTGAGCCTATGAACTTCTGTCACAACATCTGGGAAGGTTTCTAAACTTGTGTTTTGTGTTCTGTACTTGTTTTCTTTTGAAATGCTAGTAATGTGCATATTGAATTATTTCTAAATTTCCGCACTGTTTTCTGAGACTCTGTTTTTCTTCTTTTTTTTCCATAAAGGTTAAAAAAATATATATTGACCATCTTCAGGTTCTATTGCTTTCTTTTGTCTTTTCTCATCTGCTGCTAAATCAGTTGGCAAACTTCCATTCTGGTTTTGTAATGTTTTTACTGGTAAAGACATTGCATTTTCTTCTGGTTTCTTTTTCTACTGCTGGTCCTCCTATGTTTCTTCCTGACATGAAGGTGGTCCTTAGTGGCTGAGCAGTCTGTTCTCCTGTCATAGCTGGGTGGACTGTGTTTGGTTTCTGGGGATTTTCCACCCTACACGTAAGTCACCCACTTCTTCCAATTTCTTCACATGAACAGTGATTCTGAGTTTTATCCTGGGTATTATAAATCTTAGAGTTTGTGGATACTACTGAATTCTTTGGAGAAGTGATTTTTTGTTCTATAAGGCAGCTCACTGACTGGATTCAAAATCCAAACAACGTATTCCTTATGAGGATTAGTAGCTGATTCTCCATCTCTTTCAGCTTCCAGGGGCTGGGTTTTTTTTAATTGATTATTTTTAGTTTTAAACATTAGTATACATTTTTTCCCTTATTTTTATATGGCGCTGAGGATCGAACCCAGTGCCTCACACATGCTAGGTGAGAACTCTACCTCTGAAGCATGGAATATAATTTGTTCTAATTCAGACTTCCCCCTGCTCCCCTCCTTCTCCTCTCCTGATCTTTCTTCAACTTAGTCATAGTTTTAAAACTAGTGTCTTGTTGATCCCTCTGTGGTTTCCCAAGTGTGTAAGTTGGCCAGTACTCTGGTGGATCTTGTGTGCTGCTTTGGTGGCTTGTATTCTTTAGCTCACTCACTCCTAGGACTTGCCCCTCCCCAGTTTTGTGGTTGTTGTCTCAGCCTGAACTTTACTGTCCAAGGTCCCAAGCCAGCAGAGCTGCAGCTTTTTTTCATTAGTGTTGTCCCCGTGATGATCACAGTAATCTTTTTTGAAATGGGGCCTCTGCCTGGGCTGGTCTTGAACTCCTGGGCTCAGCCAACCTCCTGCCACAGACTCCTAAGTCATAGTCTTTTCCGTGAGCTCTGAATATGATGAAATAAAATTCTTAATATTGAACTTTTTCCTTGTTGCTGGAGTAAGCCTTACACATTCTCTCTCTGTCAGTGAACATGAGTGTCCCCTTAAGTTCTGTGCTCATGCCTTTTCTGCTTTGAATCTGAGCTTCTCCTGAGCATGCCATTTACTCCCTGGGCTTCAGTTGCCTCTGAGTCCTTACTACTTCATGGACATTTGCCTTCAGTTTTCGAGTTCTCTGTGCTTGGGTCACGTGTCCATTGGCAGCAGGACATCCCCATGATGATGCAGAAGCTTCAGCACCATGTGTCCATCACATTCTGTGCATCAGATTCTTGGGCTTTACAAACCATTTTCAGTTTATAGCATCAGGATCTATGGAGCTGCCCATGAAGACAGCCTAGTGGCAAACACCCTCTTAACCCCTACACAGCAGTTAGTATCAAGTTTTGTTTCTGCCATTTCTTTTGTTTTCTTCTCTTTTCCAGGATTGTTTCCCTATTCTTTACACTTATCTCTCTGGGTCCTGCTGAGGGTGGTCCTGTCCCCAGGTTCTTCCCGACTCTCCTCTTGAAGCCCGTCCCTAATTCTCCTTTTAGGAGTTGGTGTTAAAATGCAAATCTGGGCATGTCACTTCTTTTTGCTGGCCTCTCATTGTTTACGCCCTGTGGTATAAGAGGTGAGCGATGTTCACTTTCAAGTGCATCAATTCTTGTGGATTTAGGAAGGAAATATGAAGATGCCTATGAGCATGCTAACAACAGTGAGCACAGGTTTTTTATTGCTGGAGTCAAGTGTTAAATGTGGAACACCCACAACCAACTCCTTGAACACTTTAGAGCCGAAGGTCACTCACCTGGACATTGCCCTTTTGCAGTTCTGTTCATGTGATATGTGTTCTGCCTTGTTTCAGGACTGGACCATTGCTTCCCTGTGTTTATAACACATTCATGGGGAAGATTGGGGCTGTGCCTCTTCAGTGAAGGGCAGTCTGATAACACAGAAAAACATGGTTTTCCTATTTCCATGTTACCCTGATTTCCATTATACTTGCTTTTAAATTAGCTCAACACCCTAGTTCAGTAGGCACTTACATTTAATGTCCTCATACGTTCATAATCTCGTGGGGGAAGGGGTTTTCCATCCCTTTGTCCCTGGAAACAAGGCAATCCCACATCTGCAAGGGAAGCTGCATGGGGCAGTTTTAGTATGGGCAGGATGTTTCTGCTATGACTTTTTCCCCATGGAGTGGCCTACAGAGCGTGCTCACACATACAGAATGAACTCCCAGGCTTCTTGTACTCATGACCTGGTACTGATGACATGAATTAGAGGCATATTCCATTGCAGGGCTTGGTGTCATTTGAGGATGTGGCTGTGAACTTCAGCTGGGATGAGTGGCAGGACCTGGATGAAGCTCAGAGGACCTTGTACAAGGATGTGATGCTGGAGACCTACAGCAGCCTGGTGTCCCTGGGTGAGTGAAGGTCTCAGTAATGCCAGGAGCAAGTTTGTTCTGAGGAAGTGTGAGCACCCACAGGGTTTACTGCTGTCAGGGTATGGGGTTCCACTAACAAAGGTTCATATTGATCCCTTCATTACCCTCCTCCAGAAGCCATACTGTTGTTGTTCCTCAGAGGACCCTGGGTAGCAGTGTGGCCAAAGTCCTGCACTATTTCCTCCAACAGGGCACTGCATCCCCAAACCTGCTGCGATCATCAAGCTGGAACAAGGAGCAGAGCCGTGGGTGGCAGAAGAGCCCCCAGACCAGAGCCATCCAGGTCAGTCAGCATATCCTGGGCAGGGGGCGGGAGGGGCAGAGCCCAGCTCATGTGTGCCGAGTGAGCTGGATGAGGCATTTCCCCTGGTCCTACCCCTGAGTCAGACACCTGCGCCCTACAGTCTTCACAGGTGGCTGTCCTGTGTTCATCCACCATCCCACGGCTCCTGGGCTTTTTTCTCAGCAAGCTTCTCTCAAGTCTCAGTTGCCCCTTCTCCCTCACACTTCAGGACTATCCCCTGCAGATATTTATCACGACATTCACTGGTTCTTTCAGTGCTTGCCAGGCAGGTAACTCACAGATGATAGTGTTTGGTGGCTGGGGAATAACAGCAGTGATTAAACACATATATCTCCTTTTAAAGAACTTAATTTTTTTGAGAAAGAAAAACCAAATACATGTAGTTGTGAGATAAGAACCACCAAAAATGTTTTTCTTGGATAAGGCAGAGTGAGTGGGGTGTATTTTGGGAAGGGTCCCAAGAGGAAACTGTTTTAGAGAGATTATAGTTTACTTTGGGACTGCTTAATTTTGAGGAGGTGATTTTCCAAATGCAACATATAATATAGAGTATGTATCAGTGATGGAGATATGACTTTGGAAACTAATAGTTTAAAGCTGTAATTTAAAGTCAAGAGCTATTATTTATAAAGCTCACCTAAGGAGTAAAGAAAAATGAGACAAGAAATCTAGGAGATAGCTTTGTGTACAGGACATGAGATTCTATGATGCTGAGGAGGACCCACCGTAGGCCAGAGTCCTGCACCATTTCCCCCAACAGGGCACTGCATCCCCAAACCTGAGGTGATCATCAAGCTGGAGCAAGGAGCAGAGCCATGGGTGGCAGAAGAGCCCCCAGACCAGAGCCACTCAGGTCAGTCAGCACACCCTGGCAGGGGGCTGGGATGGGCAGAGTCCAATCCACATGAGGTGGGTGTGCTGTTAAGCTCCTCTCATACTCTTTCCCCAGTTGGGAGGAGAAATAGAGATCTGTGTTTCAAGGCCAAGTGAACCAAGGGTGTGAGAGCATAGGTTTCTATTTGGGAGTGGAGTTATTGAAGTGAACATTTTCCCTTTCTCTTTGTGGGACACATGAAAACAACAAGGAGAGTGAGATGCGTGCAAGAGTTGTTTTCTGTGAAACCAGGAGACTGTTGAAATATCAGTACATTCTTCAAGCAGGGTGCATGCTCCAGAAACAGGAGAGTGCCAGGGCTGTGGTCTCAGCTGGAAGACTTCTCAGTGATGGCAGGCACAGCCAGGGTTGCAGAAACAAAACTTTTAGATCAGCAGGGAGGGAGTGCCCACTGCGCCAATGGGTGTGGACCCTGCCTGGTACAGTTCTGAAAAGCAGAGGATGTCAGGTTGAACTAGGGATGTGATGGACTTTGTCTTCATCTAGGGTGGGGAAGAGATTTGAAAACCCCACAGTTGCCTTGTAGCTATTTCCCCAGGAAGACTAAACAAATGTAGATATAGAAGCTTGCCCCAGGGGCATTGCTGCTTAGGTTACAGACAAATGGCCCTATTTGTTCTGTGGTAGCAGATCCTGGGAAATAGCATCTTCAGAGCTAATGGATCAGAAAAGAAGTGGCACAAAATGGTCAGTTACTAAGAAAAAATAGACAAAAGGAAGGAAAACAAATGGCAGATGAGAAGCACTCAGCTTAACATACAGACAAGTGGTAGTTAGATATTTTGACTAAATATTTCCTTGGATATTAAAAGAGAAAGAAAACTCAAACAAGCAGAGAAAAAGAGTGATTTAACGTAGTAAAAGCTACCAATGCTGAGGTAGCTCTCAACTTACTAGGGAGAAAAGGCATATGCTTATCATACATCAGTACCTATTTTTGATATTTTAAGTCAGTAGGCCACTGGGATAGAAAGAAACTTCTTAACCTTTATGTAAGTATTCCATAAGAAGTGCCTAGGTGTGTGCATCATTGGCATGTTTTGTTATTGTTGATCATTTCAGATATCCAGAAAGTGGAGGATCTGAGTGAGACCAGCCAGGAGAGTCGAGAAAGACATCCGTGGCAAGTTGTGATTACCAGCCGCAGTGCAGCCGAAGAGAGAGTTGAATTACAAAGAGCATTTAATTTAAGCTCAAGCCAGATTTCAGAGCTGATTGTAAGTAATGGAAACTACTTAGGAATGAGGATGGATGAGTTTATTGTATATCAGAACATGCTTCTTCCTGGTGAGCCTGATGCCATGCATGTGGGAGAGGGGCCTGGTGCCTGTGACCTGACTGGAAAGCCCCTCCAGCACCCTGAGCATCTTGGTCCACAACACGAGATTCAAGCAATGCAGCAGGACCTTGAGCGGGGTGGAGAAGGTGAGGCCTGTGGCACAGGGACGATATTCTTCATCCAGGAGAGGGTTCACCTGGGAGAACCCTCCTGCAAATACAGTGCCTATGCGGAGGGCTGTGGTCAGTTTGCTGTTGGTGTCCAGGGGATAACCCATGTGGGAAGAAGAACTTACGAGTGTGGGGTCTGCCGAAAGACCCTCTCCATCAAGCCCACACTCATTCACCACCAGAGAACGAAACCTTGGGTGTGCAGTGAATGTGAGAGGCCCTTCCTGACACAGCAAAGAACACATACACAGGAGCCTTGTAAGTGTGACTTGAGTGCTCAGTCTCTCTGCCAAAAGCCAGACCTCACTTTACAGCCGAGAGCTCACGCAGGGGAGAAGCCTCATGAGTGTCACGAGTGCGGGAAATCTTTCTACCGCAGGTCAGACCTCACTGTGCACCAGAGGACCCACACAGGGGAGAAGCCCTATGAGTGTGATGAGTGTAGGAAGTCTTTCAACCAGAAGTCGAATCTGAGCAGGCACCAGAGGACCCACACGGGAGAGAAGCCTTATGAATGCAGCAAATGCGGGAAGTCTTTCAACCAGAAGTCAGACCTTATTCTACACCAGAGGACCCACACAGGAGAGAAGCCCTATGAATGTAAGGAATGCGGGAAGTCTTTCTACAAGAAGTCAGACCTCACTGTGCACCAGAGGACGCACACAGGAGAGAAACCCTATGAATGTGATGAGTGTGGGAAAACTTTCTATCAGAAGTCAAAACTCACTGTTCATCAGAGAACACACACAGGAGAGAAGCCCTATGAATGTAAGGAGTGTGGGAAGTCTTTCTACCAAAAGTCAGACCTCACTGTACATCAGAGGACCCACACAGGAGAGAAACCCTATGGATGTAGCAAATGTGGGAAGTCTTTCTACCAGAAGTCTGTCCTCACTGTGCACCAGAGGACCCACACGGGAGAGAAGCCCTATGGGTGTGATGAATGTAGGAAGACCTTTTGCCAAAAATCACACCTCAGCAGGCACCAGAGAACTCATACAAGGTAGAAACCTGTGCTTCAAGAATGTGGGAAATCTTTTGAAAGGAAGTCATACCTCAGTAGGCACCTAAGCACTCACAGGAGAGAAAAGCCAGCCTTTGTCAGAGCAGTCATCAAGCTTCAGAGAACTTCCACAAGGAGCGCTGCATGGCAGAGGCAGGTGTGTGTTCCCCACTCTCCTTTCAGTGGACATACACTGAGTCTGCACTTCTCAGCCTCACTGTTGTGTCCTGGACCTGAGTGCTGTCCAGAGGGATATGGATTCAAGCTTGGATGTCATGCCCACATCTAGCGACTGGTGACTGGTGCTTCCCAATTTCCCATACCCTGTGGGACTTAAGTCCAGATGATCCCAGGGTGATACTGGGAGCTGTTGGTGGGATAAGGCCACTGTGATTTGAGAAGGAATTGATTGAGGAGAGCAGAGATCTCCAAAACTCTACCCCAGAATCTCCCTTGTTACTTTGTATTAGAGAGAAATAAATACTCTTAAGTCATTGTATGTGTGGTTTGTTTGCATTATAACCCAATAGCCCACTTTTCCTGATTCACTTTTTGAAGGTGGAAAAGCTTTCTGAGCAAAATTACTAGCCTCTGTTTATCAAAATCCACACAAGAGAAAGAATCCTGTGTGGTCTCCTTTCATCCCCAAGTTGGTATAGTGGATGTTCAGAGAAACGGGAGAAATGAATTTGGGGATACTTTCATCAGGAAGGGACAGCTCATTAAACAGTAAATTTTTGTTAATGTTGCGATGTTACCAGCCTGTGTGCGTGTGTGTGTGTGTGTGTGTGTGTGTGTGTGTGTGTGTGGTGCTGAGGATTGAACCCAGGGCCTTGTGCATGCAAGGCAAGTGCTCTACCAACTGAGCTATAGCCCCAGCCCTGTTACCAGCTTTTAACAAAGCACAATATTTTTATATATCAGAATTTTTTTTAAAGAGAGAGAGAGAATTTTTAATATTTATTATTTTTCAGTTTTCTGTGGACACAACATCTTTATATGTGGTGCTAATGATCGAACCTGGGCCGCACGCATGCCAGGCGAGCGCGCTACCGTTTGAGCCACATCCCCAACCCTATATCAGAATTTTTAATGAACAGAAAACAATAGAAATTTTCAAACAGAAATGCTTAAATATATTGTGGAACATAAAAAAGTCATCGTCAACCACACAGTAGTTCTCTTCTGTTGGTTTTGCCTGTTCAGGGGCATTGGCATGCTGGAGACATTTTTAGAGGGAGCCTTTATATTCATCTGGTTTTCTTGCCTAATTTAGCAAGGGTTATTTTAGGAAAGCACTCCTCCACTGAGGCTCTGATGGCTTTTCAGCACACCGACTCTGGGTCCATGTGAGTAAAAACCTGGTGGGGAGGAAGGAGAAGCCCTAACACATTCGGAGGGTCACAATAGAAGCCAGTGAGGCACCCCAGAGTCACTGCTGAGCCCAGGGAGGGTTCCACCACACCACTACTGTTATTCATGTTTTGGTTGTTCATTTTCCAGTGCTAAAGTAATAGAGTTGAAAAATTGAAAAACAGGTGTGTGAAAACTTGCAGCATTATTGAAATATATTTTGTATGCGAAGCCAGAATTTGCTAACGTTTATTCCATGACATTCACGGAAGTGAACTCATTACTTTCTTTGGTTGAGAAAGTCACATCATATTAATAGTAGCACAGAAAATAACATCTGTTGTGTAGAAATCACCACCCCCACACAGACAAACTCTTGACTATGCCAGGCTTTGATAGTATACAAGGATGAGTTGAAAAAGCTACCTCTCTTCTTTCTTTCTGTAGATCTGGACCATTTTATTTAAAATTAGGATTTGTGAGAGTCATTTAACATAGTTGTGAGCCTCTACAGTCCAGGGGTCTTTTGCAGTGGAACTCGGCATCATTGCAAGATCTTCTGTGCTGATTGGCCCGTTTGATATTTTGAGTCATTTTATTAATGTGTATTTTTACTCAAAAGTCACTCATTTCCTCTATCTAAATTTTCAGGTTGATGTGACAAGTGTTTTTGCATTTGATTTTTATTTTACTTCCCTTTTTAGTTTTCTACAGAATTCCTTAATCTTATGTACTTCTATTTTTCATCAATAGTATTATTTATTTATTTTTAATTGCTTTTACTTTTTAAATACATGACAGAAAAATGCATCACAATTCTTATTACATATATAGAACACAATTTTTCATATCTCTGTATATAAATATGTTCACACTAATTCATGTGATGTCTATCACATTCCACCATCAAACAATATTTTTAAAATATACTTTGTATCTTGTTTTTGCTGGAAATGTCTTGCTGGCAATTTCTTATGAAAATCTTAAGTGATTTGTAATTAATTTCTGCTTACTGAAATGTCTTTGGGGTAGCTCAGTCTTTGCCTAGCATTTCCAGCACTGGAAATATGTTTGGCAGGGTAGTGTTTAAAAAGATTATATATTTATCCACACACTCCAAGGTATGTTACAAATTTGGATTAGATTGTTCTAAGCAAAAAAATCTGAATCAGTTTTCAAAGACACAGAGTGGTGATATTTTTGAGGCTAACTATAAATATTGCATGATATCTAAAAATCATTCTAAGATGACATTTCTTCAGGACTTAAGTCATTGGAATATGTAAGAGGTAAATCAGTAACCACAATCTGTAAATCATATCCATTTACTAAAATAAATTTTCACCTGTTAAAGACAGAATTTCTTTTTCTAAAATTTAGAAAGCCTATTAAAAATTTTACATTCATCAGAAAATTGCTTTTATTCCTTGTAAGCAACAAAATGGGCCTTCTAATAAACACTGTGCTTTATATATTGTAGGATTTTTTTTCTTGACAGTACTGGGGATCAAACTCAGGGAGGCTCTATTGCTGAGCTATATCCTTACCTGCCAGGTTTCCCAGGCTGGCCTCAAACTTTGGTCCCCTTCCTCAGCCTACAAATTAGCTGAGATTACAAGTGTGTTGCACCATGTGTCAGGGATTTTCACTGGAAACTTTACTATTTCCCCTCTATTCAAAAATACTTTAAAAATTGGCTCAGCAAATGAATTTCTTCTTTTGAGGTTACATATGTATAAGTGTGTGTTATTTTCTTGCTTATGAGGAATGAAAGCAATTTTCTGATGAATGTAAAATTTTTAATAGGCTTTCTAAATTTTAGAAAAAGAAATTCTGTCTTTAACAGGTGAAAATACATCATGTTTGTTGATTGAGTTCATTAAAATACAACATACTTTTTACTGTATTTGGATTAACAAAAAGCAGAAATTTGACATTAAGATTGTGAACTGAACGTTGGGTGTGGTGGTGCATGCCTATAATACCAGTGTCTTGAGAGGCTGAGACAGGAGGATCGTGAGTTCAAAGCTAGCCTCAGCAAAAGTGAGGTGCTAAGCAATTTAGTGAGACCCTGTCTCTAAATAAAATACAAAATAGGGCTGGAGATGTGGCTCAGTGGTCAAATGCCCCTGAGTTCAATCCCAGGTACCACCCCTACAAAAAACAAAACAAAACAAAATATTGTGAATCAAACAAAGTGCAGATAGGGTTTAATCATTTTGGAGAGGTTGACACAATGGCTTCCATACTACGCCTGCTGCAGTTGTCTGTTATGGTCTGTCTGGGAGAATATCATTCTCATGTTCCCAATTTATGTATAATTTCCTAAGGTAGACTATGTCACTTTTCTTTCCAGGAGTCAATAAATCCTTTTGTTGCTGATGATGTCCTTGAGGGGACACTGTTCCTCATGACAAGCTACTTCTGCAGTCCATGGTAAGGAGAGTGTTAATTTTGGGAGCCTCAGCTATGTCTCAGCTCCAACATGTTTTCTTAAGAGCAGTGATTATTCATTTTCTATTTGATTACACAGATAAAGCATAGATCCCCCTTTTCCTATGGTGCTGGATCTGGAACCCAGGGCCTCATGCATACTAGGCAAGCGTGCTACCACTGAGCTACATCCCAGCCCCTACGGGTCCTTTTGTTATCATTACCCCTATAACTAGATGAATGTAATAACATTTCTTAGGAGTTCAATGAAATTTGGAGACATTCAAGAGTTGGGGCATCCAGCAACCCTTTGTGATTTATAGCAGGTAAAGTATTTTTTCCCATAAAACAACCACATCTGGAGTTACTCAGACTGTGCTGCCCTTGTTCCTCTTGTGCCACCACCTGGGGAGTGGGGGGGTGGGGTCTGTGCCTTTTCCAAAGCCAAGTGTGCACATTAGTTATCTGGAATTCTGCACTCGTTTACCTGTTACATCATTATTTGTGCATTGTGCACATCTGGATAGTTGCCTTAAGCTGTGGTTGTTTTCCAATTCTCAATATTCTGTTGCTCAATTCATTTCTGCTTTAGTGATTGGAATGCTTTCCACTGGGAGATCTTTCCATTAGCTCCTGTTTTCCTTTAACATATTTTCATGGTTTTGTCCCACATTCCTTGCTTTATGACTTGAAATGACCCTGGCTCCCATATTTACTGTCCCAGTCCTAGTGTCAGCCACTTCCTCAAAGAGCTCTGGTTCCTTACATTTGAGAAAGGTATGAAAACTTCATCTGGCCTCTGGATGTTCTCACTGCCTCTCAACCGTGCAGACCCACACATGTATGAGCATCCTAATCTACTCACACACTTAATCATAAGGTTTTCAAGTGGAACTGTCTGTGTGTGAGGCTGAACGTGCGTTTGTGCTGATGTCTCCAGTGCATTATGATTGATAACTCTGCCTTTGCCCCTTGATTACTTATAACTTTTCATTCCAACAGTGAGCAATCTGGTACCTGCCATCTACCTTAATTTATTGTTCCATTTTGAACATTAGATTCATTGTTGTATCTGCAGATTATGGTGTATAATATATTAAATATAAATTTTGTCTTTGCCCCCAGTTCTTGGTACAGAACTCCTTAAAAAATTACCATATTTTTATGAGTGATAGTCATGCCAGAAACATATTTTGTTCTAAATTTGGTGTTTGACTTTGACTCCTCAGAGTTCCTAATTGCACTGGAATCTCTCAGGTGACAGGAATTCCTTTTATTTTAATAAGGACTCTTGATTGGCTCTCAGACAGCTTCCAGGTAGAGAATGATTATGAGAAAGACTATACAGCACAATCAGAAGCTTGGAACTTTTGAGTCTCAACCACACCATTCTCTGGGGGAAAGAGGATGGAATTTGAGCTAATAATCTCACCTATGTGATGAAGATAAAAACAAACAAACCCTAAAAGTTGTGGTCAGGGAGCTTCTGAGTTGCAGAATAAATCCGTGTGCATTGCGGATGGTGCCCCCAACTCCACGGGGACAGAGGTTCCTGCACCAAGAACCCTTCTGTTCCTTGCCCTGTGCTTCACCTGGCTGTTCATGTCTTTTTTGTTACATTCTGTGGGCCTCCAACAATGCATGCACATGCAGTCCTGCACACATTTTAGGAAGATCCACAGACCCCAGTCTCAGTGCCTCTGTCCTATCTGACTACTCATTCTTCCCTTCCCCAATTCACCCAGCAAACATTTGCTGAACACCTATTGCAGTGTTTGGCTCTCCAACTGGGTCCCTATCACCAAACACTTGTTCATGCTGACTGGTCAGCCTGGCAGCTGGAATTCCCTCTGGCTCACTCTTCTAAGACAGAGTCTAGGGAAGCACTAGTATACACAGCTTTACCTAAAGTGACTTTAGCTTCAAGTTTTGAAAACAAAGACAAAACAAACATATAACCCCAAATGCAAAACCAACTCTAGGCCCTTCTCCCACCTTCCCTCCTTCCTTCCCTTCCTCTAGTGCTGGGGATCAAACCCAGAGTCTTGTGTCAGCTGAGCATGCTCTCTGCCACTGAGTGACACAGTCATCCCCAAATTCCTCTGGAGCTCAACTGAAGAAAAACAGGCTGTTCTGGGCTTAAAGAAATCCAGGGCCCCCTCTATCCAAAGCTAACTGCCTGGTCCTTTAGGGGTCTGGAGGTGGGTGCAGACCTCATAAAATTGTTGATTGGGAGACTAAAAACCAGTCCTGGGAGAGGGTGCATCTTTCTTTACCAGTCCCCTGTGCTGCTTGCAGGTCTTCCTTGTTCCTGGTTTAGATCCAGCAAGAAGGGGGAGGGGAAGGAGGGACTGATACTAGAGCAAGGGACAGAACTGGCCTCCGAGCAGCTGACTGTCAGTGTGGGATCATGCAGCAAAATCTGTGGACGTTTTTGTTGCTCACAATTGGAGAATGGAGGCCACTGGCATTTCATGGGTTGATGCCAGGGATGCTTCTCAGCCTGCCAGCCTGCAGAGATACCCTATGCAATGTAGAGTAATCCATTGCAAAGGTCCCTACTACTAGGCTTGAGAAACTGTGGTCCAGACCAGGAAAAGAAGGTGATCTACTCTGGCTGCAAGGGGACCTGTTGGCCCTCCTACCCAGCTCCCGGCTGCTTTCTGGGTTTCATCCCTGCCACTGATGGAGACTTCATCCCTTATGGCTCATACACCTGTTCACCCATGCTGCTGGCATCTTCTACTTAGCAGGCACCAACAACATGGTTGGCCACCTCTGCCAGTGTCAGCTTGCCAGCCATCAACAAGGTCAACAAAGACATCACAGTGAGCAGGGGGCACAGGACCCAGGGTGGCACCTGTAGGAGCTGTGAAGGAATTGGCCCCAAAAAGATTGGTCCTGAGGCAGAAGTCATCAGAGGGTTGAGGGCAGGAATTGGCAGTGTCAGTATGGGTGTGCAGACACCCTCTTGAGGGCATTGCAGGAAGGTCCAGTGTCTGCTTGGTTCCTACAGGGAGAACTTCTACAGGCTGACCAGGCTCACCACCACCAAGGCTACCTTTGACATCTACACTGAGCCCAGGGCCAGAACACACTCCAAGTGACCAAAAGAGAGACCGAGGCCCCAACTTGGGCCACCCAGCTCTGCCCAGAGACTGGCAGCCTCTTTCTGAGACTCACAGAGATTCCCTGGTCCAGCATAGAACCAACACCAAGTGAGGGTCTGAGAAGTGGTCTCTCCCTGTGAGGTTTATCTAAGATGCTGCAGCTTCCCGTTGAGGCTTCTTTACTAAGCAACAAATTGAGCTCTGAGCTTCCCATCAGTTAAGGCAAAAAGGGAATCAGATGTTGGAACATACCTTGTCCAATCAAATGAAAAGTGGAAATTCATATGGAGATAAAAAATACCTTCTTGATACTGAATTATAGGAGGCAAATGCCTCAAAAAATGTCACAGAGGTGAGGCATAAACAGTTGAACTCAGAGTCCATGAATGTGGGCTGCAGCTTTCCCTCCCCGCATGTAAGATGCCAGTTTCTCAGTGAGTCCTGATGAGCTTCTCCAGACCCTTTGCTGCTCCCCTCAAGTGCCAAGACCTGTTCCTGCCAGTCTTTCCATCCCTCTTGAATGCCCATCTACCCTGAAGGGATGGAGGCTGACCACACTGGTGACGTCCAGGATGTTTTGGAAAGCCCTTTGTACTCCCTTGGGCAGTTGGTCCCAGGACAGGCCTGTCTTCAAGGCCACAATCACCCATGGGGCCAATTAGCCTGAAATGGGTCAGATGTGGGGTTGAGCCCAGGGGCAAGGCAGCAGGCATGAGGGGCTCCTGCCCTCATGACTTGCAGGCCTGAATTCTCATCCCTGTCTCCTTCCTTTCCAACAGGAAGACTCTGGCATGTTGCTTAACCAGTGAGCCTCATTGGCCCCTCTGTTCATAAGGATAGGGGATTCTGAGTCCCAAGAGCATGCACATGCTCAGCCAGTGCTGAGGTATAGGAGGTCAGCTTAGACGGCTGTGGGCTGCACAGGCATGTGAACAAAAAGCTGGCTGGAAGCACAAGTCTCAGCCACAGAGGAGTCCTCAGTCCCCACTCAACCTCTTACTCAGCAAGGACCCCAACTTGGGCCACCCAGCTTTGCCCATGTACTGGTAGCCCCACACAATACAGACTGGCCACTTCTGGAGGTCACCAAGAAGATGGGTCGTGGCTCCATGAAGCAACTCTTGAGAGCTGACTACTTACAGTACTGGACCATGGCCTACCAGGTATTTCCCATGTTGATCAGCAAGGAGGCTTCCCCAGGGCCCTGGGTAGATGATTCTAAGACTACCTTCCTGCTTGCCACACATGCCTCTAGGTCTCTCAGAGGTCATTCCATGTTCTGGGAACATGCTTCAATCCTCTGGTCCCAGGATTTTTCAGGAGCATCCGAGCACTAGCCAGTGTAATGGTACTGAAATGAACATCTGTTCCTTGTGAGGTGGAGTTGTGTAGTGCCTTCAGCATGCTGAGAAGGTGGCTGGCTCTTACTGTTCTACACAAAATAAACAGACTTCTGGAAGAAGTAAGCACTTTGGTTTTTTTAAAAAAAAATTTTAGTTGTAGATGGACACATTTTTTAAAATTTATTTTTTTATGTGGTGCTGAGGATCAAACCCAGTGCCTCACACATGCCATGCGATCACTCTTCCGCTGAGCCATAACCCCAGCCCCAGCACTTTGTTTTTTATGCAGAAATTCAGTTACCATCCCCATCCCCAAGTCCTCCTTTCCCCACACCTCCTTCTTTGGTCTCCTAAAGCCCAGGGTGAAGTGGTGAATGGCATTTTCCATGGCATGAGATTTGAAATTGGTGGGCTGTCCTTACAGCCAGGTCAGGAGTGTGGTCTGTGAGAGGGTTCTCTCCACTCTTGGGGAGGGCTGGGCATGTGTTGGGCAGGATGCCTTGAGGATGGAATCTCTAGTGCAGCTCAAGAAAGACTGTAGTGGTGAGAG